TTTTTTTCGTCATGACATCATCAGTTGACATCTTTAGTGCAGTCAAAAGAAAAACAAAAACTCTAGTCGCAGGCAGTCTTTAAGGGGGAATATACAAATAAAAATCCTCAGACAGCTTTGTTGAGAGAGAGCATAGAATAAAAGAAGACTTGGAGGAGCAGAGGGGGGAGGGAAACTTCATTCAGACTCCTGTTTGAGATGGGCTGACATTAAAGGAGACATCAGGAGTATTGCTCGTGACTTTGGTCTGGGCTTTCTGTCAGGGAGGACTGCATCCCACCGTTTTCTGTGATTTTTTCTTTTTTTTTTTTTTTAAACCAGATTTCAAAAAAATTAACCAAATACAAGTGAAAAAACGTACATATTTGACATCACACGTGCCAGCTGGTGGATGCCACTTTTAGCTGAGGCACTTTACAGTGCATATTTTTTTTTTTCACACACGGGTGGCTACAATGGGGATGAAGCATGTTAGCCCCGGCAGTGTTAGTGCCATGCTTTACGGTGCCCAGTGAGTCACACAGAACCACAAACAAAAAAAGAAAAAAAAACTTACTGAGGAACATTGTCACAATCCCAGCAACAAAGGAAGTATCAGAACAGCTTTTAGGATGATTTGATTGTACAGGGAAGAAATTTTTGTCATGTATGTTGTTCCTTATATACACAGAACTACTATATTGCAGCAATAATGATCGCAGGTCACAATATACATGTGGTCACCGACAGCTACGGATGCACTAAAGAAGCCTGACAGTTGAATTTCCCCCCCATACGGAATTGAATACATCATTTTTGTACAAAGCAAAAGTACATTGTTGCGTGGATATACCAAAACCAGACAGTAAAGGGTTGATGCCAATATGCATGACATATTTAAAAAACAACATAAAATAAAATTAAAAATCTTTGTAAGGAAAATACTGGGGCAGAAACACACACACATGGACATCATCATCTTTGGTGAAGGTTTGACAGAGAATGCTTGAAGACACCTGAGCACACACATAAATTGCACGCACACACACGTTGTTCCTACAGCTGGAAATAGGAATTCACTGCAGTTACTTGGAAACGTGTCCTCGCTTACAAATTTGAAAACGTGAGGACACTGATGCACTCAGGGTGTTACAGGAGTCAATTCACAAAGGTCCTCTTGGAAATATGCAACTAACGTGGTGTCGTTGTAGTAGATGTATAAGAGAGGAGGATGGACATGACATCACACTGTGATACATTTGGTTGTAATCTACTGGCAGAGTTTATCAGATATTAGCATATGAGTCGGTTCATGCAGGGATTGCATGTCACTTCACTGTTCGTCTAGGTGTTTCCACAGAGTTTTCTGGAGCGACTGCAACGTGTTTGCATCTCAAACAATCACCACAGACTGGCATAATGTGGCCTCTAGTGAATATAACTTCATATACAGCACTGTATGCGCCACAACAGTACACCAACCATGCCATCTATTAACAGTTGACGTGACAGCTATCATGGATACCTGCCACAAAGTGACATAGTTACAAGATCTGAGAGGTCGGTTTATATTATCACTATTTTCACTGCAGTATTGTCCCCAAATCCTTAAATGCCTAATCTTCAATAAAAACAAAAACAGAACAAAAGAAAAAAATAAAATAAAAATCCCCCTTCCCTCCCTCCCCCCCAAAGAAAAACCAAACAAACAATCAATCACAAGAAATCTAGAAAATAGAGACAAAGATTCAAAGCTGCCTGTGGAGGAAGATGCTGGCATTCATTCAAAATCATTCACTGATGGACGCACGGGGCTCCCCATCGCATGTTTTCTGCTCTGCAGGCCTCTCAGTTCAGTTTCCATGCAAAGCCATGGCTTAGATCAAGGAAAAAAATACAACGTGCAGCACCTCCCAAAGCTTGTCCCAAGACCCAGGCGAGAGGAGGAGTCAACATGACCCCTCCCCACTGTTCAAGTATGAAATGAGAGTGAGATCAAAATAAGTTACAGAACATATGCACGAATGAATGAACAAGACACAAAAACAAAAATCAACTAAAGTGTGCTAATCTGCTGTCACACCTGCCTCGTATGTCCTTTTCCAGTCAGTGAATCAAACAGGGCGACAATATTTTGTAACATTTTCATCTTTAATACAGGGGCTAAGAACATGTAGTCTCATCTAAGGAACGGACCAGATAACACACATTAAATGTTAGAGCTATTTTATGTTGGCTTTCTTCTCAGCACTTGATTTACATCCTGAAGATCGATGCATCATTAAATTAAAGGTCATCATTAATTTTAGCAAGTATATATATATCTTTTAGGTCCATACACATTGGTTTTAGTTAACAAATATCCGGTTGCTAGGCTACATTTCACCCTAAACTGGCTACACTCACTGGTCAATAAGACAAAACTGTATATTCTGAACTTCCACATCTACAGCATAAGAACATGAACTCTCTGGGAAACAGAACTAAGTGGTGAAAAAAACACAGATTCCAGTTTTTTAAACAGAAAAAAAAAGAAAAAAAGATGGAAAACACCATCCAATAAAATCAGAATAAAAAGATCAAAAAAAATCAGCATGATGAGAAAAGACATGAGGTCCACTGAGGAATGAGAATGATGAGCTATGGATGGTTTGTGAAACTACGCACGCTTATTTTCACAAGTACAAAGTGCACATGGGAGCCGACACATGGGACGGAAGTTAAGTGTCTGGTTGTTAATAAGGGGATCTCTTGCTTTCAGGCCTGGGTCAGGGAGGGAAGAGTGGGTGGTTTAGGAACCCCTTGGTCCTCTGACTCCCTCAGGAGCTCAGGGTAAACTGGTCTTGCTCGATGGGCTTTTTGACCCAGGCCCCCAGGCCGGCCTTGTGGAAGGCCTTGATGAGCGCCTGCTTGGCGGAGTGGTACTCTGTGGCTGCCTGCTTGGCTTCATGGTAGGAGCTGGGCTTCAGCATTTTGATCCGCAAGATGGACGACAGCTGAGGAGGAAGAGGAGATGAAAACAGAACATGAGCAACAGGATCTGAGAAAAGTGCCAATATTTCAAAATACTGAAGACAAAAATGTACACGGACTGCAGCTCAGTGTTTTGTCTCTCACAGCGTGTGCACATATGTCTTCAAATGTATTCATACCCTCCCATTAAAGAAGGAAAAAAAAACAGCTGTCACTGAAATAAGGTGAAATTGACAAAAGTAATAATAAATAAAAATTCATTGAACATCATGAGACTGCTTTTAAATTGTGGTTCAACAGAAATATATATATAAAACAAACCCACAAGCAAACAAGCATGATGGGACCCGGAAACTAATATTTAGTTGAGCAACCCTTTGAGCCAATCACTGCAATTAGGTGTTTTCTGTAACTCTCAATCAGACTTCTGCTCCTGTTGACAGATATTTGGATTTCACTGCTCATCAGCAAAGTGCTCTAATGTGTCCGGGATAGTTTTTTTTTTTTTTAATTATTCTTTTCAACCACAATTCAAAAGCAATGTCTTATTTCACTAAATCATAATTTAGCAAATTTTTATTTATCATTATTTTTTCAGTTTCTAGTTATTTGAGTGACTATTGTGAATTTTGCCTTTTCTTTAATGGAGGGGTATGAATACATGTGAGGACGACTGTATAGTTACTACAGCGTAAAAGTTCTGCTGCTACTCGGAATCACATTTAAGACTAAATGTGTAGAAATGAGCGTCGCACCAACAGCGGACATGCTGATTGGTTAAAGTGGAACATTAAGACAAACGCGTCCTTATTAACAACCAGCTGACATACGAGGCTGATCCAAACTTGCTGATCTGTCTTCTCGGAGCTACATACAAACAATTTCAGAGACTTGTTTTTTCCTTCACTGTGATCAGACACCACAGTACTTTCAGTGTAGGCGTTCACCCAAATGTCATCCAGAGATCTGTGGCTGCTCTCCCTGGTGCTGGTATTAAAGCTGGGGTGGAGGCGTGGCGGAGACGAGGGCGGAACAGAACAGGCAATACCCAGCATCTGCTGACTTGGCTGTTTTGCATTTCTTACTCTGCATGTGGGAGTCCACTGCCTGGATGCCTGCTGTGCTGAGTCTGAAATGCATTGCCTGGTACTGGTTTCAGTGTTGTATAGCCAATACAACCCCATTCTGTTGTTTGCTTGTAGCTCCAAACACAATACAATGTGTTCTGATCTGCATCACGTTAATGCAAGCAGCTCTCAGTAAATTATTTAAAGATGCTTCCCATTACTGAAAGAAACATTTACAACATCTTAATTATTATGTTGAAGCATTTTTAAGATGTTTGATACACATCTGTCTATCTACTCTGCTCATCCAGAGTCGGGTTGCAGTGGCAGCAGGATGTGCAGCTAATTCCAGGAGTCCCTTTACCCAGCAGCATTTTCCTGCTCCCTCTAGCTGATGCTTCTAGATAAGATATGTAATCCCTCCGGGGAGTTCTGCATCTACCCCGTGGTCTCCCCCCAGTTAAACGAGCCTGTAAAACCTCCAGATGAAGACGCAGAGGAGACGTCAGATGACCAAACCACCTCAGTTGACCCTACTCCAAACTTCCTCCTGATGTCACCTGTAATCTCATATTGTGAGACAGAGATCGATTTTAAACACTTTATAAGCAGTTAAGGATTTAGTTTTAAAACAATTAAATCAGGGCCTTTTTGGACTTTTTAAGGAAACGTGGAAACCCAGGTGGCTCGGTGGCTAGCATCGTTGCCTCGCAGCAAGAAGGTCGCCGGTTCACGTCTCGGTGAGGAAACCCCAGATCTTTCTGTGGTGACCTGTCCAGGGTGTCCCCTGCCTTCACCCTACATCAGCTGGGATAGACTCCAGCGACCCTAGTGAGGATTAAGTGGTGTATAGATAATGGATGGAAACCCTGTTACAATACCTTTCTTTTTGAATGTTTGGAGTGTTTGGAGCGGCTGTGGCTCAGGTGGTAGAGCGAGTCGGTCGGTGATCGGAAGGCGGTTCGATTCCGCCCTGTAACCTGTTTCATGGTCGTTGTGTCCTTAGGCAAGACACTTCACCCACCTTGCCTGCTGTGAATGCGTATGAATGGATTGTTTGAGGTGGTGGTTGGAGGGGCCGTAGGCGCAGAATGGCAGCCACGCCTCTGTCAGTCTGCCCCAGGGCAGCTGTGGTTACAATCATAGCTACCACCACCAGAATGAATGTGTGTGAATGAATAATTGACAGTGAAAAGCGTCTTTGAGTGTCCAGAAAAGCACTGTATAAATCTGATCAACTATTATTATTATTATCATTAAAGGTCCTCAGACATAACTAATATCACAAAACATGAATTCAATCAGCTGAGATGATTCTAATTTTAGAGTCTGATTCATCATCAGTTTTTCCTCACATTGTCAATTTCAGATTTATTTTTTATTTTTTCAGTACATTTCTGGGGCTTGTTGCCTTTATTATAATGGACAGTGGAGACAGACAGGAAACATGGGGAGAAGAGTGGGGCAAGGACATGCAGCAAATGCCCGTGGGTCGGACTCCATTTCAGATTTTTATTCACATCTGACCACGAACCCAATCCAGAAGATCCACTGATACTTAGATTATACAAGAGAAAATTTACTGCCACTCCTACTGTTACGGTTCTAATTAAAAAACCATCATTATCTTAAAAAACAAGAACCCCCCCCCCCCAAAAAAAACAATTACATTGGTCACAAGACATATATATATATATCTCATATGTCTAACATGGCACCGTGTGGCTGAAATAAACAAACACAATATTCATAAATATACTTAAATTTGTGTGCAAGCTGTAATATTTTTCATTTACTTCAACTAAAGGCTTTAATACACAGCATCATGCGGTCTGTCTGCTGGCAAGACAGTGTGTGTGTGTGTGTGTGTGTGTGTGTGTGTGTGTGTGTGTGTGAGCTCCGGCCGTTCTACCTTGGAGTGTAGGCGCACCCAGCGGCTGTACAGTGCGTGTTTGCAGAGACGTGAAGCGCGGCCCATGTCGTCTTTGCCTGTAGTTGCATTGATCACCTCCAGGGCTTGGTCACCCACTGTCCAGTTAACGCTGAAGTTTGGAGCCTTGCCTGGCTGCCTGGCTTCAGCGTTACTGATACCTGACATCAGAAACAAGCAGGGTTAAAGGCTGAGCAGCTAAAACACACTGACATGTTCAAGGTTCAAGGTCTTTTCGTTGGTCCCAAACACGGCATAATGCGCAGTAAAATGTGTTGTGCACCTGTTCCACACCAAAACAGTAATCGTAAGATAAACAAGAATAAGGAATAAAACACACAAGAAATATATATATATATATATGTATGTATGGAGAGAGAGAGAGGGAGATAGAAATAGCAAAAAATAAGTCAAATTGGCAAACAGTGCAAAAAGAGAATAAAATAAATAAAGAAAATAACAATGACATTATGTACATCATGTATACATACAAGGTGAAAAGTGCAAAGTGAGCGGCTGGACTGTGATTGAGTCTAACAAGCACTGTCAACTTGTAGAAATCTTTTTCTCAACATAATTTAAATGCTTTTAAGTGTTAGAAGAAAAAAAAAGAAGCAGATATTTTCAGGCTTTCAAGTGGAAAATACACCAGTGATGAGATAATTATGGGAACTATAGTAACTGGTGCCCACAGCAACCAAACCTCCTCCTGCCCGGCTGCATGGATGCATTTAACAATGGATGAGGTTTCTGAACCCGGCAGCCCCATTCCTTCAAATGACAGCTGCTCCCACAGCTGCAATATTTTTCAAACAGCACATTTTTTAAAAAGTTTTTTTTCATTTTATTTTGCTTTACTCAGTGGAGGCAAACACTGGCATCCACCTGAGGGGACTCTGAGGACAGCGCTCGCTCTCTTCAAGCACACTACAGGGCTTTGGCCTCCACTGTATCTCAAGCATAAATGGGAGATATATGGATGTCATAAATCCCCGTGTCTTGCTCTTAGTGTGTGTATGTGTGTGTGGGTGTGTATTAAGCTCCTTGGTTCCGTTTGGCAGCACTTGTGGCAGAAGATGATTTAAAGGGGATGAAATCCTCAGTGCTCTAACGCCACAGCCCTTCACCGCAGAAAACTCTCTAAAGCGGAAAAGGTTAATAACCCCCTACTATTAGCTCCTTTACCCGCCATTTAGAGAGCAACCAGAGAGAAGGCTCAGGGGGAGCTGCACGTACGTCCAGGCTCTGTGACACGGCATGTCATCCACCAGGATCTAAACAACATGACCAGCGTCGCTCAGGTCTCGACCTGTTGTCATGGCAGCAAAATGACCAGTACAACCAGCTGGATATTTTCTTGACCTTGAAATCTGCATTTACTGTTTATGTGGTATTTTGCTGCTCAGTTGGCCAGAGAGACACCAACAGGTGGGAAGTTCATTAGAACAAGGCCACACGAAGCAGATTGTTTTGGTGGAAATGTGCAATAGCCTCTGCACTGACAATTAATGATGATGATTTTATTACCAAAGGCAAACAAAATAATTGGAGCAAATGTGCAGCAATAGTACAATGACACATAAAATGTAATTAAAACATTTTTAATTAAAGTCGACTGATGTGTTTAAATCAGTGTTAAAAAAATTATGCTTAATGTGGTTCAAGCAGGAAGGAAACGGGCTGCATTTCTTTCTAGATCATAAATTAAAAAAGATTTTTACCGGTGTCTGCTGTCCACTCGTATTTGAAAAGTGCCACCCCAGAGCGCTGTGCCCTTATTTGCGGACAGTCCACTGTGGTTACATTCATTAAATCCCCAGAAAATGACACCCGGCTGCTACAGAATAATCACGCGCGCCTCTAAAGCCGTGTTACAACTCGACATCCTGCTGTTTATGCAGGAGACAATGGATTACTGGAGCTCATTAATTGGGATGCAACATAACCTTGAAACCTCGAGGAAAAAAAAATTAAATTGCTTCACGTGTTACTCTTCCTCAGGTACGAATGCTGCAGATATGGCGGCAGATTTGTGGTGTTCACACCGTGCTGCTCTGCACAATTAAATGATATACGGATGACAATGTAAGCATTTTTTTAAAGGTGTCGTCATGTGTCCTGTGATCTATATTCTCAATATTTTTACACATTGTTCTGCTACACAATCATAAACCAAAACATCACTTTTGAGACATGTACACAGTGTGCGCTCACGACTTGCTGCTTTGCACTGAATCGCTGTGCTTACAGTCGACCTCACATTTATTCATACCCCTCCATTAAAGAAAAGGCAAAATTCACAATAAGTCACTCAAATAAGTAGAAACTGAAAAAAGTAATAATAAATAAAAATTTGCTAAATTATACTTGAGTGAAATAAGACATTGCTTTTGAATTGTGGTTGAAAAGAATAATTTAAAAAAACAAAAAAACTGTTCTGGACAAATTAGAGCACTTTGCTGATGAGCAGTGAAATCAGAATAGCTGTCAACAGGAGCAGAAGTCTGATTGAGAGTTACAGAAAACACTTAATTACAGTGATTGGCTCAAAGGGTTGTTCAACTAAATATTAGTTTACGGGTCCCATCATGCTTGTTTGCTTGTTTTTGTTTTTGTTTTTGTAATATTTCTGTTGAACCCCAATTCAAAAGCAATGTCATGATTTTCATTGAATTTTTATTTATTATTACTTTTGTCAATTTCAACTTATTTCAGTAACAGTTGTTGTTTCCCTTCTTTGATGGGAGGGTATGAATAAATCTGAGGACGACTGTATGTTAATAAAATAGCAGTGAGTGTTGAAATAGCTGCTTCTGTCAATAATTATTAGTATTTTGCTTATTCTTGGTCACTTGTTGAACCACTTTCTCAAATACTGATTGGCAAATCACAGCTTGGTAACTCTGCAACCATTACCCGTGATAAACTTTGACATTCTACATTTTCCTCCCTATTTTTTCCCGTCCTTCCCTTCAGTAGCTGATATAAAGTAGGTGTTCCTTAACTACACTAGCTTGTGAAAAAAGAAAAGCCCTTTTTTATCTACCAGCACATCTCCTGTATATTATTTTTTACACGGACCTGAAGCAGGTGTTGGATTCTATCAGAGTTTATGCTGACGTTAGCGGCTCTGTCCCGTTCTTAGATCTGGGGAAGTACAGTCTTTCAACAGCTTCACGTATCGATGACCAAGCTAGCAATATATTTCCCAAATGGATCAGTTAGTCATCTTCCAAGAAGTCTTTTTTTTTTTACTTAGAGTGAAAACACATTTTTTGAAAACAGTAACAAGCAGGAACTAAACTGGCTTTTGCTGTGGCCATCAAGAACATGTTCAAGACTCCTTAAAAGGATTCTCTTGGCAAAATGAGTCAGCCTATAAACATTAAAAGGTCCGTTAGTAGCAAAGTCAACAGCTGCCAGCTGTAAATGAGAAACTGGCCTCTGTTTCTTACTGCTTTCACTTCTGTCGGAAAAGCAAGGACCCATTGTGTCAAAAAAACCACCAAGAATTTCAAGTGGTGAATCTGCAGTTGTCATCACAGTAAACTGAATGTAAGAGGACTGGTAGAAGGAACAAATTAGCCCAGTTGGACCATATATCATTGGACATAAATGCAAGAAGTGGGACAGAAATAGCAAAGCAGGTGGCAGAAACTGTGTTAAAAATAAAAACATGAAGAAAAAAAAATCCCACAAACATTGCTTGCAGTGAAATGATATATGATATTGTTTTACAAAGTCTTCTGAACAGCCAAAGGACAAAGACAATGCTCTGAATCTAAAAATGGAAAGTCTTCTCAAACAAACAAAGACAAAAAAAAAAACACCGACCAACTACACGAGTCCAGGTCTATACGGCCTTTTTAAAAGGTCAAGCCGATGCTGAAAATTTACACAAAATGATAAAGCTATTCAAATTCTGCCAGCAACTAGGTAAATGTCAGCTCAGATCAAACAGAGGAGAAAAGCAATAACTGTCTTCCCGTTCCTGCGGGACTGACCACTGAGGTGAATGTGAAATGTGTTTACTGCTCAGGATTAAAATCTCCCTCCTTGATATTTAGACAGCTGGAGCTAATTGGCAAAGATTAACAAGGGGACGTCACACTCGTACTTTCAAAGCAATAAAAAAGAAAGTGAATGTGGAATGTGACCGCGCCAGGGATTTTTCAGAAGACATATTTTTTTGATGTTGTCTTTGTTATTTTTTTCCATCTACTCCACATCAAACGGGACTCTTACCACTGAGTAGAGGCCTGTTGAGGGTGAACTGCTGCGGCAGGTCCTCGATGTCTGCGATGCGCTGGTACATGGCCCTGGAGAGGTGGTCGGCGTGGTAGAGGCTGCCGAGGATGATGCTGGAGAAGTAGATGGGCTCGGTGAAGTAGCTCATCAAAGAGCCCTGGATGCCCACCACGTTCCACCTGCAGAGGAAAACCATCCACGCGTTAGAACATCTGGAACTGGAGCTTTCTTTGGTGAAAAACGTACAGCTTCAACAACACCATCCGTCACAAAGTCATTTCCTGAAATCATGTTCGGCTTTCACTTAAAAGCAAAGACAGTTTCAAGACAAAAACTAGCTAAACATTTACATCCGACTAAAGCAAA